ACTACTCTAAACACCAAATGGTCAAGGGTACTCAAGCAAGCATTGTCAATTGAGATACTAACCATCCCTAAGCGTGCAAATACTCCTTCCTAGGCAGAGAAGTCAAAATTATGCCGTTACCACATAAACAGGAGACATACCATTGAGGAATGTACAACCTTTAAAGACTGCATTGAGGACTTGATTAAAGCTAGGCATTTGCAACGATTTGTACAAATAGACACCGAGAGGGGTAAGAGTTACTAGTTTGAGCCTTCAAGGAGATATGTTGAGAGGAGAACAGAACGACAACGTACTAGGTCAAGAGAACCACCTGTCAAGCATCTTGATGAGCGTGAGAAATACCCTCGCTGAGTTATTAATACCATAACAGGAGGATTTGCTGAAGGAGGGTCCACTAACTTAGCCAGGAAAAGACATTTGAGACATGTTCGGTCAATAAATCATATATCATTAGGAAGTGAAATCTGGATTCCTCCCATCACGTTTACTGACAGAGATTTTCAAGGGGTGGACCCAGTTCAGGACGACCCCATGGTTATCAGCGTTGGCATCCTTAACTGCACTATCCGCAAGACCCTAACTGATCAAGGGAGTTTGACTGACATCCTGTATTGAAATACCTTTAAACAATTAGGAATACCAGAAGAGGAATTGACGGAGTATAATGAACCACCCATCGCATTTTCAAGAGAGCGGGTGGAAACCTGCGGCTGCATAGATTTGTACACCATGTCCGGTTCGAAATAGGATGGAAGACGTATCAAGGTAACTTACTCAGTGGTACATGCGAGCACCTTATACAACATATTGCTCGGTCGTCCCTCCCTCAACAAATTAAGGGCCACAGTATCCACTCCTCACTTGGCTATGAAATTCCCTTCAGACAGAGGCCGAGTTATCACGGTCCATGCAGATCAGAAGATGGTCAGAGATTGCTATTTTACAAGTTTGCGGTTAAAACCCTTCCCCGCGCATAGCCGAGATGTTAACATCATATCCTCTCGAAAAAAAATAGAGCTAGATGTAGAACTCGACCCAAGAATAGATGAAGGGCTTCGGTTGAACCTAGTAAAGATAAGAAACATTTTTAAATAGGGAAAAAACCCGAACAGATCACATACCTCGGATTCGGCCTGTCCTTAGATAAGCAACAAGTAGTTCAAAAGGTGCTGCTAAGCAATGCCGACCTGTTCGTGTGGTCGCCCTCAGATATGCCACGTATAGACCCCGATTTCCTGTGTCATTGTCTATCAATTTATAAGGGGGCCAAGTTGATCGCTCAGGAAAAAAGGAAGATAAGAGGCGACAGAGCACGAGCAGTCTGGGAAGAGACCAAGAAACTATTGTAACCCGGATTTATCCAAGAAGTACGATACTCTACTTGGTTGACTAATGTTGTCATGGTAAGAAAGGCAAGTGGAAAGTGGAGGATGTGCACAAATTTCACTGATCTAAATAAAGCAAGCCTAAAGGATGCATATCTCCTCTCTAATATCAACACCTTAGTTGATGGAGCCGCTGGGCAGAAGTTACTCAGTTTTTTGGATGCATATTTTGGATATAACCAGACTCGGATGTACCCCCCAGATGAAGAGAAGATGACCTTTATAATGGACTCGACAAACTTTTGTTATAAAGTTATGCCTTTTGGCCTGAAAAATGCAGGAGCCACTTATCAGAGGCTAATGGACAAGATTTTTGCAAAACAAATAGGGAGTGTATGGAAGTGTATGTTGACGATATGGTAATTAAATCCATCAATTTTGACAGTCATGTTGCTCATTTAACTGAAGTATTCGTTGAAGCAAGACGACATGGGATGTGGTTTAATCCTAAGAAATGTAAATTTGGGATAGCCAAAGGAAAATTCTTAGGATTCATGCTTTCAGAAAAAGGCATTCAGGCAAACCCAGATAAGTGTCAAGCTATTATTAATATGACTAGTCCTCGTAATATAAAAGAAGTACAACGGCTAGCTGGCTGAATAGCTACAGTAGCTCCGTTCTTGCCTGCAATGGCAGAGAGATCTCGACCTTTCATTGAGCTCTTCAAGAAATCCCAAAAATTTACTTGGACGGACGAATATGTAGTAGCCTTTGTCTAGTACAAAAATATGTTAGCAGTTCCTCCCATCCTAACAAAGCCGACTAGAGAAGGACATGATCATCTATTTAGCTATATCAAACAAGGCTATCAGTTTGGTCTTGTTACATGAAGTACATGAGCAACTATCAGTATATTTTATTAGCAGAACGTTACAAGATGTTGAGACTCGATACTAGTTAATGGAAAAAGCAGTATTGGCACTGATTCATGATAAATCCATATTTTACTATATTTTTAGCCTAGTTTTTGTTAGTAAATAAAGAGTTAAATAGTAAATAAACTTGAAAATATCATAAAAATTGCATTAATATTCATAATTGTGTAAATAGTTTTGATTATTATATTTTAAGTCCAATTCTGAACAATTTGACTTAAAATGACTTAATCCTTGTATAGAAGCTTTAACTAAGAATTTGAGTTAAAGATTGAAGTGAAGAAAGTAGAGGAATTAAGCTTAAAAAATGAAGAATCAAGTGTTAGGTGTAGGGCATAATCACTTTGAGTACATAGAGTGAATACTTTGAAGAAGAAAATTCATGAAGATCAAGAGAGTAGCTACTTCAAGTGTTCAGAGTAGCTACACCTAAGGCCAATTCAGAATTGTACAGTGTGCATAGCTACTTCAAGTGTTTAGAGTAGCTACGCAATTGAGCGGGTAGTCACTGCAAGCACTCAGAGTAGCTACATGTGAGGATCTTCCTATGAAGAACACTTGCGCGTAGGCACTTCAACCACTTAAAGTATCTATGCAAAAGTAACAAAATTTTAAATACCACTTCTAAGTGTCAACTTTGGACGATTTGAGTTCCTAATTCAGTTTTAGAAGCTTCTAGAACACCTATGATGCTAGAATTCTTAGAGATTAATGTGTAGAAAGGAAAAAGGTGGGAAAAACATTATAAATAGAAGTTAGAGGTTCAGAAAATGGGACTTTGGTTTATTTTTGTTATTTTCACTTTGTAACTGTTTTAACTTCCAAGGGAAGTTAGAGAGAGAGATGGGGAGCGACTTTCAAGCTTCATTGCTGGAGGAATCAGTGTGAAGATTAGGTCTTGGAAGATGTTCTTCTGCTTCTTGTCTTCTTCTTCTCTTACTTCTCCTTCTTCCATTGTAATGTTGTTCTAAACCTTTTTGGTTAGGGATCTATGGATCCAATTTTGATGTTGTGATGTAATTGTGGATTGGATCTTGAGATTTTAATTAAATTGAGTATATGATTCTGTTCTTAATGCAGTTGTGAATTAATCCTTCATTCAATTGAATTTAGAGGAATTTTCATCAATAGAAATTGAGTTTATTTCTCATATCTGAATCATATGTCTAGGTTATTGAGATCTTAGGAATAAGTATCATGATCTAGTAATCCTATAATTTCCAGAACTTAATATAGTATTTGATTAATTGTTTTTGGCACTGTTGCCGGAGATTAATTGTTAATATCAATTCTAATGAGAATTTACTAGCTTAGGTTAATAATTTCTGCTGTGTTTTAAGTGTTTGTAGGAAATTTCTAAGTGCAAGAGCTGAATTGGTTGATGCGACGCAAGGAACTTGATCAGCTAATTATTAATTTCAAGAAAAAGAACAAAAAGAAAGGACAAACTTCAGAAAAAGAAAAAGAAAAAGAAAAAGACCCACAAGAATAGAATTCTACAGAAATGGCAGGAAATCCCAATGAAGAACGAAGGACCTTGGATGATTATGCACGTGCAAGACCGAGAGGAAACCCCACCTCCATTGTTCGACCTCCCATTTAAGCAAACAACTTTGAGATCAGACCTGACCTTATGAGAGTGGTCCAATAAGAGCAATTTGTTGGACATCCTTCTAAAGACCCCCACTTGCACATTTAGAATCTTTTGACCATTTGTGGAATGATTAGAATGAATGGTGTGAGTGATGAGGCTATCCGGTTGTCTCTTTTTCCATTTTCTTTAAGGGATAAGGCAAAAAGTTGGCTGTTATCCCAACCAGAAGGAAGTATTATTACTTGGGATGATTTAGAGCGCAAATTTCTAACGAAGTATTTTCCAGCCTCTAGAACAACCAAGTTGAGGCAAGAAATTCTGGCTTTTTCTCAAAGGGAAGATGAAACACTGCAAGAGGCATGGGACATATTCAAAGAACTCTTGAGAAGCTACCCTTATCACGAGTTACCTGAATGGCTTCAATTAAGAACTTTTGATGATGGGCTGAATGTAGCAACAAAGACAATGGTGGATGCAGCAGCTGCAGGTTCATTCGCTCAAAAGACTTTGGAAGAACCACGCCAACTTATTGAAGACATCGCATCTAACAATTACAATCACACGGAAAGGAATTCTTCAAAAAGAAGTGTGCTGGAGCTGAATACCTTGGATACATTGCTAGCTCAAAACAAATTGATGTCACAGCAATTGAATTCCCTCAATGCCAAACTTGAAAACATGAAGTTTGAAGGGAATAAATCAGTACACTATGTAACTTCCACAAGCCAAGAGGAATATCATGAGGAAACTAGTGAAAACAGAGAAGAGTTTGTGCAACAGCCTTTCTCTGAACAAGTGAGTTACATGAACAACTTACGAAAACAAAGGCAGCACCAGAATTTTCCTCAGAGGGCATCTTGGCAGCAGCAACAGTATTTCCAGCAGAGGCCTGTATACCTAGCATCAAATCAGTAGAATTTCAGGCCAAATATGAATTTTGTTGCAAGACAATCAACTCCACCTCCATTCCCACACTCCAGCAACAAGCAATTCCAACAAAGTGGGCAGTATCAACAATAGAATTTTCAGAATTTGGGAGCCATCCAACAGCTCCAAGTTCCAAATTAGGTATCTACCCTTGAGAAGGCACTTCTGCAACTCACGTAGACCACTAATTTATTTATGCAAGACACAAGCACTAGGATGGCCAGCCAAGAATTGGAAAACCAAATGGGGCCAATTATTAAAAAAAATAGTGAACCAGCTCAAGACACATTCTTTGGGAATACAGTGGAAAATTCAAGAGAATATTGCCAAACCATCACCACCAGAAGTGGCAAGGTAGTGGAACCACAACTTAAGAAAAAACAAGACGAGAAGGAGGGCAACTCAAGTTTTAGACAAGCCAGGGATATTGCAGAAAATAGAAATGGGGAGAGTGAGCCTGAACAAGAAAAACCAAAAGAGAAAGTTAGGCCTAGGCAGAAGTTGGTGGTGGATGAGGCATACTGGAACAGAACCAAGAAACAGATCTTGGAAGACTCGTACAAGCCTCAAATTCCCCCTCCCTATGTTAAGTTGCCATATCCACACATCCCCAAGAACAAAGAGAAGAAAGACCAATTTTCCAAATTCTTGGACATTTTTAGAAAGCTACACATAAATATACCATTTGTAGAAGTGCTGGAACAAATGCCTTTGTATGCTAAGTTCATGAAGGACTTGCTTTAAAAGAAGAGAAAATTGAAGGAGGATGCTACAATCGCTCTTACTGAGAAATGTAGTGCCATATTGCAGCAAAAGTTGCCTCCAAAGTTGAAAGATCCGAGAAGCTTCACAATCCCTTGCACTATAGGGAATGTGACCATTGGAAAGGCTTTATGCGACTTGGGGCCAGCATCAACTTAATGCCTCTCTCCAAATTGAAGAAATTGGGAGTTGGTAAAGTTAAAAATACAAAAATGGCTCTCCAACTAGCTGATAGATCCATCAAGTACCTGTATGGTATAATGGAGGATGTGTTGGTTAAGACGTCCCTATTCCCAATAGTTCAATCTCCATTATTTGATACTTCCTAGGAAAATACCCAAGTTTTTTCTTTATAACATATATAAGAGTTAATTATGTCTAAAGCATCAACTAACTCTTTTACACAAAAGCACTAATATCATACAATGGCATAATATTATAGTGCTCAATAGGTTACAACCTTCTAAGTTTCTTCTTGTCATTCAATTAATTACATCATAAAAGAACCGAAGGTCTACATAGTGACCCTTAAAAACAAATCACTAAATATGTAATTAGTTGCAACAATCTTAAGCTACTCCCTAGTTAGCTCATCACCTACTCCTTTGGTCCATCTAGAGGAAAGTCATTCTGTATCCATAACATTGTCAAAAGACATAAAACAAAGAAGAGGGGTGAGTACAAAAATTCATAAACAATAATACAAGGCAATACATATGCTTAAATGAACAAAACATTATTTAGGCATCAATGATATCAAACATCCCCGTACTTATGCTTAAATGAACAAAACAACATTCAAGCATCAAGAAATAATCATTCAATGTCTTTTGTCCGTGAATTCTCCATGGAGTAATTAATTAATTATCCAACATTTTATTTTCAGGTTGAGATTGGGAGTTTCGTGTCTGCAATTTGGGTAGTGTCATAGGTACATCTTCTCCTTTTACCGGAGACAAAACATAAGTGCACAATTCTTATTTTATGATCACTACCAGCAGCTGATCAGTTGAAATTTTTACAATCTTATTTCCTCTTATTCCTAGCTCATTAATCCTCTTTTGTGCCTAGTTAGTTTGAATTGGATCATTTTATGATGTTTGAATTTTATTTGGGCTTTATTTAATTTGTCCAGCAATAGGTAAATTTTGATACTGTTTTGGTTTATGGGCCATATCATGTGTTATAGAGCTCATTTTATTATGATTCTTGATTTGTAGGAATGCTGAGAGAAGGCGCACAATTCCTATGAAGAGGTCAGAAACTAATTTTGATGATAAGATGTTGAAATTGGGCCTGGAAAAAGTGAGAAATATGCACTCACAGTTTCTGACCTTGGTGCAGTATTTAGGCCATATCTCAATCCACAAATGTCCCTTTAAGCCCATTCCAGTTGTGTTTTGAAGCTAACATCCAGGGATACAATTTCTCTTCATATTAGAAATTGAAACAGACAGATCTTCACTGTCAAAAATACCACACAATATCTTCTCATATTTAGCATGGATACTGGGCAGCAATTACAAGCATAACTTTCCCTTCAAAATTCAAACTTGAACAAATAAGGATTCCATAGACAACTATTGTGTAGAGGATTAATGTAATTGAATAATTATTAATTAGTTTTAATGTTTTGACCCTTAAAAGGCCTGTATTTAAATTAAGGCAGCAGGTTGAAAAACGGTTGGTTGTTTTTTGAGAGAAATAATACAAGTTTTAGGGTTTTTGTCTATTCTTCTTTGCCTCTTCTCTTCTCTCACGATTTACCTTTCATTTTCCTCCATTAATGAAGGCTTAGACTTTCATTTAATCCAAGGATTGAAAAAGAGCTGAGACATTCTTGAGGATTGGTTTTTCAATTCATTCAACAACAAATCCAGTTTCATCTCTTTTTTCGTTTTCCTTTTGCTAATTAGATTTTTGAATTGAAGTTATTCATTTGGATTGATAATTATGCAGTTGTTTGATTACATATTATTCGGTTGATGTATGTAATTAATTTTTGAAGGAATATGAATTAGATTTTTAGGTTTGAGATCTAAGATTAATGGTAATGGTGAATTAAATTTACACAAATCAATTAAGTTTTAGAGGTTTCTAAACTTTGATCGATTGTGTGTTAATCAAATGCATAAGGGTCTTCATGTGAATGCTAATTTGAATTGAGGGTCTTCATGTGTGTTAATCAAATGCATGAGGGTCTTCATACGAATTTAATGTTAATCACAAATTTGTTGGCTAATGTATCTCATTAGAATCCGGTGATAGAATGGTTATAATTCTTCTAAATTCTTGGATTAGAATTTTCAATTCTTGTTAATTTTTCATTCTAATCAGTGTTATTTTATAAATCAAACCCCATCCAAATTCATAATCGTATAACATTATCATCACTGGGAGACGACTCGGATTGCATCTCTTACTACATAATTTTTATGCAATTTGGTGTTTAATAATTTGTCCAAGCGCGACACTCGTGATCAACAGCCCACACTCAAACCAATCTTTGTATGCTCTAATGTCTATCAGGATAGGCTAACAAAGTTCCCACTGCCTACGACACAAGTTAGCTAGACTTGGTCTCTTGTAAGTCTTGGGCACTCTCCTATCCCCTATGGTAAGACCAACACTATTTACTCCTCACCTGTACCGTGGCGTATTCAACCTCTTTCACAATCACAAACAAAAATAATATCATAGCCATTAATTATCCAACAAGCACATTATAACATCTCTATTTTAAGAGAACAATCAATTACATGGACATGGCTAACAATAAAAACTTTCCAGATTTCATGAACTAACTTGTAAAATTCATAACTAATTCGATACAAGTCCAAACATCATGAAATCACCAAGGTTTTCTTCCTTTAAATGTCTACTATAATATAAAATTACAGTCAAAATACAAAAAGCCTCCAAAGAATTAATCAAGTTTCAGTTTACCTCTGCTGTTCTCAGATCATTTCACTAAACAGCCAGCATATTGTAAACTTCATAATAAATTCAATTCTCATCCAAAATAAATGAGACCAGTGAGATTATTCTCATTAACATGTCTATTTCATGTAAAAATACTTCAAAAATAAAAATATTGCCAGACATCAATTCGTGCTTTAATTTATCAGTTCATTTCATAGAATAGCACAATTTAAAAATAAAATATTGGAAAAATCATACAATTCATCATCAAAACTCATGAAATCAGTGACATTCTTTCACTTTGGTTGTCTAGTTTCATATAAAAATATAATTAAAAATTTATGGCTTCTAGATTCTAGAAAAAGTCTAAAATATTCGTTGTCACTCTTAGTAACATACTTCTCAGAATAAGTCAAATAGAAAAGTCATAACTATTTTATTTTAAGTCCAAAATTCATCAAACCAGTGGGAATATTTCTCTTATAGTCTCTATTTTCATTAAAAAATAATAATAAAATAATGTCACTTATACATTTTAAAATGAAAATAGGTTTCTCAGTAGCATGCACAAAACGTTACTCTCATAAAACAACATATTGAGAAAATCATAAGTGTTTAAATTTAACTTCAATTTATGCAAACTCAGAGGGAATATTTTACTTATGAAGTATAATTTTGTGAAAAAATATAAATAAAATAATATTGTGCATGGAACTTAAGACGAAGAGAATTTATAGTGAGCTATTCTCAGGAAATCATTCACAGACATCATAATGTTAAAAAAATTCATATCTATTTTGTTTCAAATCCAAATTAAATGAAATCAATGAGAAAAGTTCCATTAATAAGTATATTTCTATACAAGAATAGAGATAAAATAATACCACAAAGAGAAATTAAAACGAAATTGAATCAAGACTCTGCTCCCAGAATACTATTTTCATGTAGCAGAAACTTAGAAAAATCATAAATAATTCAATTTAAATCCAAAAAAGTAAAACCAATGGGAAAAAGTTTCAAAATATAATTATACAGATGAATAAAATACTAACAAAAATTTTTGCAAAGGTTTTCTCATATGTTACATTATTTGCTATTTAGTCCTTTTACTTTATGTTAATTGCAAAAAGGTCTTTTTCTCAATCATTTTGGTAATTCTTAGATAGTCCAGAACATTTCTAATCAGCTTATGGGTCTTGAATCATGTCTCCACAAGTTCTAAAATATTCTCTTGGTTCTACCACATATGTGGTCAAGTGTCTTGCACATTTAAGGTATATTTTAGTCCAAAATTATAGTCCATCATCATGTCAAGGTTCAAGCTTTCAAATTTAATCTTAGATCTTTGTTTTCATCATATTTCTCATATAGTCCAGAGGTTCCAAATATGTTCAAGGTTCCATAGGTCCTCCTCATAGTAAATTTCCAATTTTAGTCCATTTCTTATTAAAGTTTCATACAAAAATCTTCAATAATGTCCCAAGAATACTTTTTAACTCCAATATAATCCAAACCAAAGAGAAAATCATATATCTTACTTAATTATCCTTAAATAAAATCACACAACATAGATCAAAGAGAAAATTTTCAGAATACACCCTTAGAAACAAATTTTATAGAAAACCCATATTTATCCATGACAGAAAATATACAATTTCATAGAAAATTTCCAAAGTCCATCTAATCAATTCCAAAGCAGAAATCCACATGAATATATCATGGATTCATGAAAATAACACATAGAAAACAAAGTCATTAACAAAGTTCCATTAAAATATTGTTTTACAGTTAATTTTAGTTTTTCTGCAAAACTTTCTGTTTTTGCTATTTTAGTGATTTTCTTGTGAATTCTTTTTTCCAATCAAATTTTCTTTCCAATGTATACTAAGACCATGAAATTTCCATCATATAAAAAGGGTTAAAGGCTCCCCTTTGACTCCAAAATTCATTTAGCAAAGTATTCTCTTAATTTATGAAATAGTACTCCCCCTTACTTGATTTTTGGTTGATCTTGGCTTGATCTTTGGGAAGTCCTATTTCTCTCCTTCTCTTACTCTTTT